AGCAACTAACCGTATATGCAATATCGGGTCTAGTGCTAACCATAAGATACATCACCGACCCTATTGCGCTGGAATAAGGCACAGATTTCATTTTCTCAATTTCAGGAGCAGTCTTGGGAGACTGGTCCTTACTTAACACAAAGTGAGATGCCATAGGGACATTAACAGGAGAAGCAGATAACATATTAAATTTACTCAAAACTTTTTCTATGTAAGAAATTTGATTCAAAGTAAGAGTACACTTACTCCTATCCCTAACAATGTTTATGCCTAGGATCCTCTTGGCATCACCTAGGTCTTTCATGGCAAAATTCGCACAAAGACATTTCTGCACATCTTTAATAGCATTCAGAGAAGGACTAATTATCAGCATGTCATCCACATAGAGTAACAAAAATACAGGCACAGAAGAAGTATTTTTGAAATACAGGCAATGATCACAAACAGATTTTTGGAACTTCAAAGATATCATGGATTTATCAAATTTGATGTTCCACTGCCTAGGGGATTGCTTCAGGCCATACAATGCCTTCCTAAGCAAACAGACATGCTCACTTCTCTTGGGATCCACAAAGCCCTCAGGCTGGGTCATATAAATTGTTTTATCCAATTCACCATGCAAAAATGCAGTAGTTACATCCATTTGTTTCATTTCCCAGTCATGGTGAGCAACTAAAGCAAGCATCATACGAATAGTGGTGAATTTAACAACAGGAGCAAAGATTTCTGCATAATCTACCCCCTCTTTTTGAGTAAACCCCTTCGCAACCAACCTAGCCTTAAACCTAACATCACTAGGTTCTTCCTTAACTTTAAACAACCACTTACACTCAACTACCGAACAGTTGGGGGGTCTAGGTACAAGGGTCCAAGTCTGGTTCACTCTCAAAGAGTCCATCTCACTTTTCGTGGCACTAATCCATTTCTGAGACTCTTTGGAACCTAAGGCTTCACGGTAGGTCTTGGGTTCATTCAGCTCTAGGGATTCAAACACAAAAAATGCAAACATAGAAGTATCATGCACAATGAAAGCATAATCAGGCATACTATCAGCAGTTCTCCTGATAGCCCTTCTACTCCTATCTCTAGCAAGTTGATAATCATGCAAATTATCACTACTAGGCTCCACATGCAACTCATGCAAATTATTGTTATCATGAAAATCGGATTCAGCACCCATATCATGCAAATCATGCTCAGTATCATGCAAATGCTCCACCTCACTCGAGGTGGTGGGACTATCATGCTCAGAGGAATCAGAATCATGCATAACAATATCATCAGAAATAACAGGATCAACAGATAAAGGACTAGCAGCAACAGGGACAGACTCCACCTCACTAGGAGTACTATCAGACCTAGACTCAGGATTAGAAACAGACTCGGTCAAGCAAGGAAAATCAGTTTCATTAAACACCACATTTCTGTTAAGGACCACTTTAAAGCCTACCTGGTTCCTATCCCATAACCTGTAACCCTTTACCCCCTCTGGATAACCTAGGAAGACACACTTCTTAGACCTAGGATCCAACTTGTCACCTTGTTGATGTGCATATGCTGCACAACCAAACACCCGAAGGTTAGACAGATCAAGAGGCTTACCGGTAAAGACGGCTTCAGGACACTTACCACCAAGAGGGACAGACGGGGACCTATTAACCAAATAGGCAGCAGTAGTGACTGCTTCACCCCAGAATTTCTTAGACAAACCAGAGGTAGCTAACATGCTTCTAACCTTATCCAACAGAGACCTATTCATTCTCTCTACAACTGTGAAGAATGAAGACCTATCCAACTGTGAAGAATACAAGGATTAAGAATTCTTACCTTGTAGATGCATGTCTACCTTGTACGCTTTTTAATGCTCCTTTCAGCTTGGAATTTTACTAGCTCTGAAAAGAGTTCACCCCAATTATGCTATGTTTTCTTTGTATGTTAAATTATTTATTGTCCCTCTTTGCATCAATCACCATACATATGCCGAATATTCTGCAATTGATATTAATGTTTTTGTCAATCCTGCATTGATGAATGTGACCAACAAAAAGATATGTCTGTCACATTTATTCAAATTGATCTCAATGTTGCTACAACGAACTCACTCATGCACAAACATAATGACTTCATTAATTTTTTTTTGTGTGCTGGTTTTACGCAAAATTAATGAAGCAAAATGACTTTATTAATTTTGCTGGTTTTACGCATTTGTGTCCTTTACGTGTTGATTTGATGAACTTAGAAGATGCATTCATCTTGCACTGCAGTTTCTTATTCAGGGTACCATTTTAACGATTCAGAACATAATTTAATCATTCATAGTAACACTTTTTCAACTTTGTCCTTAAGATTTTTATGTGTTTTTCTTGATTTTGAAGTTCTTTCTCCTTTCCATCCTACTCATATATAATCAGACACTTATATACAAGAATTAAAAAGCTTTACATTACCATTTAAATATGTATGCAGTTACAAATCATTTTCACGAATACGTCAAACTCCAAAGTATTGCATGTTGTTTGTGTTGATGATAGTTGCATCTGGCTTATTCGTGCAGTTATGCTTTCTGGAAGTCAGATGTCACAAATTAGAAGGTACATGCTTTGTTTTTAGAAGTCGCGTGTTATGTTCTAAAATTCATTTACTTCCTTTTTGTGGCTCTAACCTATGTTTAAAAAACAGGACCGAGAAGCGACTCAGCTACATGATCGAGTCACAGATCAATCAAGACCCAGTGGGTCAACCCCGGAAAACTGGTCATCAAATATATGACTATATAATACCTAGTAATAATAAACATACAATTATATACGAAATTATAATAAAATGTACGTCGTAGTTATTGTTCATAATATCAACTAATGATAATACTTATTAAGCATTTAAAACGTTCTCGTAATATTCCAAAATATAATTTTGATCCTACTAAAATATATAATGACATTTGTTATTTGTTATAATATAATTTGAAATTGTTGTTTTATTGGTTTAAAAAATCTTAAAAATTAAAAAAAGTTAATTCTTTTTTGGAAAAATAATAAGTTTTTTAAGGACTATTTAATGTCTACAATTATCTCACATTTTGTGTTCTTGTTTCCAGGTTTGATTCTAACCATTTCTCTTTCGTTGATTTCTTTCGTTGATTTTAAACAATGTCATCATCAAACCACACCTAATACCATTGCAAAACGTATAAAACACATATTTGTGTCTACATCTAGAAAACCATATGCTCCTATGGGTATATTGGTTGACATGAATGACACTTCCTTATAAAAAACATGGAATGCAAATCAAAAGGACAAAAAATTAATGAGTTCAGACGAGGAGTCTCACGAGCTTATGTACTCCCGTTCTTATGTTTTGGGACAAAAATTCAGGTTCAACGATCTCATCGATTATTGGTGATGATGGTCGTTGTAAGTACTACCTCCATCCCACTAATATTGGGACGAAATGGGATGACATGGTTATTAATAAAACTGAGTTTATGTGGTTGATATTAATTGATAAAGTAAGAATAAAGTAAAAATAATTTAGAGTCACATAAACTTTACCAAATTTGGTATGAGATTTCCCAAAAAGATAAAATGAGACACTATTAGCGGAGGGAGTACCTTTTTATCTCATTATATCCATGGATTGATGGCTAAAACATTGTTTTCTAGTTCTTATTATTAATGGTTCTTTCATGAAGTCGTACTACAAGGGCATCTTACTAACAATATGTGCTCAAGATGCGAAGAAACAAAATTCCCTTTCGCGTTTGGTGTGTCAGATACTGAATGAAGAGATGCATGGTTTTGATTAGTCATGGACCCGGACCCGAGACCCGAGAACCGGGCCGGTTCCGGGCCCGCACAGTGGCGGGTCGGGCCGGTCCCGGGCCGGGCGGCCCGAACCGGGTCCATGACTAGTTTTGGTATGACCTAATCACATTATAGAAATACACAGCATTTTTTCACCTTCTTTCTCCAATTGGATTGATTTCTATCTCAGACTCTCAGATCACACCAAATAAGACTTAAACAAATCAGATCAAATTAAACTTAAACAGCTCAGACTTCGACAATAGTAAAATACACATACACTAGACATTACAAGACCAAATCAGAAAATTACAAATCCAATGAAAACACTTTCAATACATCCACTATTTTACTCTTTAAAATCGTATATGAAGCTTACCGAAGCAATTGCTAAAAAAGAGGGAATATGTATATCAAGGATCTAAAATGAAGATAAATGTAAGGAGTACTTCCTTGGAACTTATTTGATTGTAGAAAAATATCAATTGAACAATCAAATAGAGGGTCCATACATTTTAATGCAGTTCTTCGACACTCCTAATATTCATGATATTATTGTCTTGATATTAGGGGTTGACACGGTCCGATACTCCGATTCCCTACCTAGTAACAAAATTTCCATGTAATTGGGTCTCAAACCGGTCCAAATACCTTACTTAAAAAATATATAAACAGTCCAACCTTAATTTAGAGGAACTGGGACTGGGTCAGGCCAATTCTGGGCCTTTTATTGTTTGTTCCAAAACTGGCTGCACCCCTACTTGAAATTGGTAAACAAATTGATTCATTGCCAGATTTGACATGAAACCTCATCAAGTTAGAGAACAGGTAAGCCGGTAAGGTTAAGTGAAATCTTTGAAAAAATCTCTCTTGGATGTTCTCCATGCCAGTTGTGTTATTTTCCTTTTAATATCCTTCATTATGTACGGAGTATTACTTTCCAAATTTAATAATCTGACTTATCTCACTATTTGTTATATACAAAGAGATGATAACATGTAGAAAAATGCTTGGTGTACACAAAAGTTGTACACCTTTTGTGTACACTATCCCCGCAGTCCAAGTTGTCTGTCGACAGACAACTTGGACTGCGGGGATAGACAAGTGTACACAAAAAGTGTACAACTTTTGTGTACACCTAGCTCCACTCTAACATGTATTAATAATGTCACCACATTTAAGGGACTAAAAGTACATAATTTCAAAGTCAGGTACCCAACATATCATTGACACAAAAATAGAAGGAATGGAAGTGGAAAAACTTACATACACAATGACAAAGGCTAGCTTCGGTGAAGTGGTTGTCACACTCACGAGCAAGTGAATGAGATCAAATAATAATTACTCACATAATTACAAAGGGAGTGTCCAGTTAAAGAGAATATTCTTATATACATAACAATCCTTACTCATAGTCCCTAAACATCACCTAATAATGCAAAGGGTTGCTATAGCATTCGTAAAACCTGTCCGAACACCTGCACTCCACGGAGCTATATGTCATTGGTCTTTCTTATCTAAACACCCAAAGGGCAAATCTATTTACCTCTGTTTTGCAAGGAAATCAACGGTTACCCACTGCTTAGCTCATCATTCCATTGCGCATCATTTAAAGGCGACACCCTACATCATCCAGCAGATGCTACAAATAAGCCTAAAAAATGATTCAGGTTATCAGCCAATAACATATAAATAGGAATCCTTTAGATACTTAGATATGACATCATACTTGGACCCGTATTTTTTTAAATCAACAATGGAGGGTGCTGAGAGGACTCTCTTAGCTAAAAACTTGCAATTAAAACCAAGCACAAAATCACGCAGTAAGTCCATGTTCAGCATCACAACTCACAAGGACACTAAACTGAAATTTTGAGATAGACCAAGAAGGATGTCTTTTCCATCATTTGCAATGGAGCCAAAGATTCATTATTTTTTGGCTTGAGAATATGATGGAATAAAGCAAAATGGCTCACTAAACTGTCTGCGCTTCTTTGTTATGAAGCAGCAGTCAGTCCATGCAATTTTGGACGCGATTTTCACTATGGGTCATCCGGAAACAGTCTCTCTGTGCTTTAGTATAAGACTGCGTACATCCGACCCCCCTTACCCCACCGTAGGTGGGAGCCTTTGCGGCACTGGGGTAAATGAAAATGATGAAAATGATGACCAAGAAGGATGTCATGTACTAGAAAACCAGTAACACAACCAATATCTACCATATCATAACTCCTTTTGTACACATAAATTTGGATAAATACATAACCTTTTACATTTCAGGGATTTGAAAGATGAAAAATATACTCTTTGTACCTAGAATTCACATTTTGCATCCACCATGTCAAACCAGAGCCATTTTTTATTTTAATAAAAAATCGTTTACCAAAATATTATACTACCTCCGTCCCAAAAAACTTTGCCATTTCCAAAACTTTGACCAATTATATCTTTTTATTGGATAATATTTGTAATATAAAAATTATATGAAAATGTTCTTTGTTAAAATTACTTTCATAAAATGATAAAAGTACTAATCAAAATCATGGTTCAATTTTTTTGAAATGGCAAAGTTTTTTGGGACGGAGGTAGTAGTAATTTAAACCAAATCTGGGTGAAAAACTATCTCATCACTCCACCAGAGGGAGCAAAACCAAATCTATGGTACAGAAAATAGACTCACGTATCAGTGTGCCTCAAGTTTTCAAATAGGATAGCTGTAGTACCAAAATATTGCTATCAAACAATGCTGAAGTCAAAATAAGTTTAACCTGACCTAAATCAGTGGAGAACACTCATGAAGTCTTTTCTAGAAATTTTTTGCGGCACTTGGACACCAACTTTAGCAGTGTCAACAAATTTCATATCTGACTCCTGCTTCACCATGAATGTATTGCTTTCATTATACATTCCAGAATGATGTATGTTGCTTATTGGCCATTCAGATTCATCAACAGCAAATCGACTAGGAATCGATGATCCTCTGCTGGCACACACAACATTGCTAATAGGTCCCTGATTGTCTGCAACAGGAATGCCAAGGTTAGGCACGATGCCTGCCAGGTGTCTATCAGCACCACCAATCATGCAAGCTGAGTTCTGAGCTTGCCAACTAATGCTATTGTCAGCATTTGCTGAGCATGATGTGACAGATAGAGAGAGAGAACCTGTAGCAGAAAACAAATTAGAACCCACAAGGGCATTTCTGTAATTATGTTCCCTTATCTGATACTTCCCCTGGACCTGATAATTGATAAAGAACTCACCTGGTTGAGAAAGAATTCTAGAATCAAGAACGACATTGTTTTTGCTAAAAAAATTGTTCTGGTTGACTGAAGGCAGATTACTTGCGCCTTGAAAATTGGTGGCAGGAACCATTAGGCAAGAGGGCTGCACACTTATCAGGCGCTGGGATTCCAGACTACTAGATAACTTCTGCTGTTGATGATGTGGTATCACTGTTGTTGATATATTATTGTTACGGTTTTGAGCACTAAGATTAACACTAGGAACCACACAGATGTTTTTTGTAGACCAAGCTTTAACAGCAGAAGGAACATTATGATCAGTTGGCAACTGTTGAGTGAACTGTTTGGATATCTTTGGTGGGCACTTGATCAGAGGCTGACCATAACCCAGATCTTGATCATCAAGAGTGTATTTGGTCCCCTGCAGAGATGTGTGAAGTAGAGCTGGATGGTCAATTGTTTGCGAACCAAGGCCACTGGTTGGTCTCCCTAGAAGCTCGGCATTAAGAGCTGCCAAAGTTTGTGGAGATATATGGCAGGAGGCTGCTAGTGCTTGTATGTCATAACACCCAAGAGACCCCAACTTTGGGATCTGTTCAATTGGTCCACAAAAGGAATTGGTAAGTCCACCTTGTTGAGCAAATCCACTCAGCCTCTTCAAATAAAGCCTAAATTTCTGCATGTAACGAAGTTGAAAAGATCACAGAAAGAAATGGGTATTGCTATTGTCATAAGAATCATATGAACTTTGCTTATTGAAGAACTTATGTTTGCCATACCATGTAAAAAGATAAGCCTTGTTCAACTATTTGCAAAATAGTTAAATTTGTACATTTAAGCACAAGTCAAATCAGCTAAGCTAGACAAAATGCAACACGGGGCATATGCAAGGTATCATCAGGGACCCTCAATTGTTCAACTTATATGAAACTACAAATTGCAGGTAGTTTTATATGATTACTTTAAAATGCCAGAGATTGAACTTCTATGTAAGCCAGATAGTCAGATCAAATAAAAATTTAATATAACCACTGCAATCTGATCCAATAAAAAACTCATGACGTCTAGTCCTCATGTATAAACTGATCAAGTAAATGTAAATCCAGGAAAAATATTGGTAGACACAGAAAAAGAAGGAAGTGGTGATGCTAAAAACGGCATAGGTGATGTGAATTTGGAACGATTTTTTTCATGATCAGTTTATTCGCAGAGTATTTAATGATGGACAAATACATTACCCAGAAATGAGAAATGTAAAACACAATATAGCTTCTCAACACACATGAATTGGAAAGGCGCTAATCAACAGGGTAGTTCAAACTTTGAAGTGATTTGCCAAACCCGAAGACTATATATATATATATATATATATATATATATATAGAGAGAGAGAGAGAGGCCTGATCCTGTCCAGCCGGAGGGACAGGACCCGCCGTCCGGCCGTCGCCATTTGGGGCCCTTCCCGGTGGATTTTTTTGCTGAAATTTTTTGAGCATGTTCTCCATGAAGTCTAGTTTATCCATACCAAATTTCAGCTAAAAATTCAATCGGGAAGGCAGTCAAATGATTTTGGGGAAAATAATAAAAATACTCCAAACTTTAATGGGTGTGAGGTAAACACCCCAAACTTGCATATGTAATTTAAATATCCCAAACTTTATATAAAAAGTTATTTTCGCGCCTTTGTCATGTATTATTTATTTTAAAAATGTAAATCTATGGAGTTAATTGTATAACTTAAAATAGCAAATTAAAAGTGTTGCAATTATATAGATTGGTGGTAACATTATTTACTTTGCAATGGAAGTTTAGAATGTTAATTGTGTCTTCATGAATTCTAAAATATTTTAAATTATGCAATTAACATCACAAATTTACATTTTTGAAAGAAATAATACTTGACTATGGTGCTAATATAAATTTTTATATAAAGTTTGGGGTATTTAAATTACATATGCAAGTTTGGGGTGGGGTGCTCATCTCACACCCCTTCAAAGTTTTAGGTATTTTAATTATTTTTCCCAATGATTTTTGGAAGTTAACTGCGCAGTTTATATACATATAAAACGCAGTTATCTTCCAAAAATCATTTTAGTGTCTTCCCGGTTGAACTTTTAGCTGAAATTTGGTATGGATAAACTAGACTTGATGAGGAACATGCTCAAAAAATTTCATCAAAAAATTCCACCGGGAAGGGCCTCTAATGGCCTTGGCCGGACGGTCCCTCCCGTCCCTCCGGAGGGACCTGATCTTTTCTATATATATATATATATATATATATATATATATATATATATATATATATATATATATATATAAAATATATATATATATATATATATATATATATATATATATTATAACCCAGGAATACCCCAAATAGGGGAAACTTATCAAGCAATATATATTTATAACCCAGGCATATAAACAAGGTAGTTGAAGTGATTTGCCAAACATAAAGAAATGTACTCCTTTTTTCCCCTTATAACTTTGTCAACTTTCCTTTTTAGGTGTCCTAATAAATTTGCCACTTTCCCTTTAAAACAATGAATTTGTGGTTCTTGTTAATTTTCTATCTTTTGCACAAATCTCAACCACACAGTTTTTACTCTATTATTCTACGTGCCAGTCAATTTTGGCAAAGTTATAAAGAGACAGGAGTATATATTTTTTATAACCAGGAATATCCCAAACAAGTGAACAACAGAGCCCGACCATCTTAAGGTGGAGCTTAACAACCACCAAGGTCAAACCTAGAGCCAATCCCCCCGCCGTATTAGAAAATGTCATCACTTAAACTGCCCCTTAAAGGACTTCAGGGTAACATGGCATGGGATTGAAGACGGGTGGAGCAATTCCAAAGACTTTCGTCTTCTACGCACTACCGCACAGACTACCTCGTTCTGTTAACATAAATGTGCCATATTCAGTGTTTTGATCAGCATGTTTTCTAGACATATCCTATGAGTAAAATAAAATCATTCAGGCCAAAAGCAATTCTTAAGTTAAGATGCTTGTAAGTTATAAACTAACTGAAGAATAAAATTACGTGATTCAGATTTCCCATTCATCCCAACTGCTGCCAAAAATCTATCCCTTAACCATTTTGAAGTGCAAGCAGCATATGTCTTACAGCACAAGAGATGTTCTTGTTTTGTCATGATAAACTATACAGCTTGAGTTAACTGTTGGTGTACCCTTTTGGATGAAGAAACGCACTTAAAGTGCTTGCGGTCCTCCCATTCTACCTCTATATGTGATTGGAAAACAATGAACACAATTAACATGAAAAGTAAGATTTTAAAAGAATTCAAGAAGATATTCACACCTGCAAATGGCTGGCAACATTTTCTCTTGTTAAACCAGGGATGTTCATTAACTCTAGGATTCTCTTAGGTACAGCTTCTGTAAAGATATACAACACATAAATTTAGAAATATTAAAATAAGAAATCCAGTGATATGAGGGATATTTCCTGTACATATAATTCATAAGACAATTGCAATAGTTCATACTATCAATTCCAAGTTGGTTAACAGCACTAACGAACTGTTGATGAAGTTCCACTGACCAAACCACACGTGGCTTTTTTCCAGCAGCTGTATCATCATTTTCTGTATCCGCGTCATCTTCTTCTTCTTTAGATTCTCTTTTCTTTTTTGTCGTTTTCAATACTCCATCTGCTCCTTCAATGATGGATGAATCATTTTCAGCATCATCACATCCCTGTTTTGGCCGATCATTATCTTCAAAACTGCTAGAATTGTCATTTTCTTTATTTAGACTACACTTCTTCCTGACAACATGCTGCCAGATATTCTTCAACTCCTCATGACGTATAGGCTTAATAAGATAATCACAAGCCCCATGTTGAATTCCTCTCATAACAAGGTTTGTTCTTCCATCTGCCGACATCACTGCAAAACGTTGAAAGGTAGGGTATCAGTTCTAAAGTTCAGATTAATATTCCCGAACAAGGAAAAGAACTAATTACTCACTTATTACGGGAAGGTCCATTTCCAGCCCAACAAGCTCAAGAAGTTTGAAGCCATCCATATCAGGCATATGGACATCACTTAACACAACATCGAAACAGCCTCTTCTTTCCCGTAATAAGTCTAATGCAGCAGTAGCTCGAGAACAAATGGTCACTGCAATCACATAAGGTGTGGATTCATATGCATGCAATGTCAGGCATAATGCAGGCAAGAGTAGAGGAAAGATTTTCTCTTCTTTAATTTTCTATGTTTGGAGCATTTTATACGGGAGGGAAGTTAAAGAGTTGTGTTAGCTTGGAAGAGTTACTGAGTTAGGGTAAAGTGAGGAGTTATGGCTCCTCCAAAGTCCTCATAACCCTCTCAACCATTTGGCGAATTTTGATGGATGGGTATTTTACTTGATTTCGGTTTCATTCTTTTTCAAAATAGTTCTCCTACCTTGTCAAAATAAAAATGCATTACTATAATTGCTTTAGTAAACAAAAAGTATAAAAAATATATGGGTATATATAACCTTCTTCTTCTTCATCATTACCCCAGTGCCGCAAAGGCTCCCACTTACGGTGGGGTAAGGGGGGTCGGATGTACGCAGCCTGACCTCTGTACTAAAGTTCAGAGAGACTGTTTCCGGATGACCATATGGGTATATTTAATACATATACATATATTTATACATGTGTGTGTGACTGTATGAGTCATGTTTTAATGAAATACCAATTCTCTGCCCACTCCCATTTCTCATCTCCTCCCTTTTCCTCTTTAGAACCAAACAATGCCCACGAAATAGCCTCAGATACGGCTTAAAACATTACAAGGAGAAAAAAGTATTCTCTTTTTAAAAGTTGCATTTTAATACTTTATTTTTTCAATTAATGGCCTTCACTTAATTTTCATTATTATTTTGAAGAGCAAAGACAGTCACAAAAATATGCATCACAGAAATTATGTATGCATTAGACAATTACAATTAAAACTTAATCAACAATTTATAATTTAAATATTTAGTCAACGCATATGTGAGATTTTAAATCTTAAAGCAGGCCAAAGGTGCTAAGAGGGTTTAAACTTTAAAGTTCTGAGTTGCTGGTTTGCACCAAGCCACCAACATGCCAAGTTGGTTTAGTGGGTGCTTCTGGATAAGCTTGTATGAGTCTGAAAAATAGGCTTCTTCCACAAAAAAAAATATGGCTTTTGCTACAAGGTTTAACATGCTTGCACAAAATATTGAAGCATTTTGAGAAGTTGTAACCATGCCAAACAAGCTCAAATGGCCTATAGTTGCATGTTGCAGGTTTCAGGCTAAACTGATGAGTACGTAAACGGTAAATCGTGCGTAATTTTATTTGGCCTGTTTAAGCCAACTTGGTTTACATGTACACAGTACACCCGCCTTTGCAATGCAATAAGAATGTCAATTGCATCCATAAAATGGATTAACATCACTAGACTTCTGCACATTTCAACCAATAGTCTGAATTCTGAAACTATGAGTATGTGCTACACAAAGAGAATGTGCCAAAACTCCAAGCATAAATTACAAGCCCATGTGGGAAATGAGAGAGGGGAACCAAGAATCCAAGATCATATTTCATCAAAGTAACACTATCAAAGTCACTTGAGGATAAAAATATCATTAATATTATGCAAATATCGGTACTTTGATTTTATAGAAAAAGACGTGGATATTTCAACGTCAATATAAGAAAACTTTGGTTAAAAAAATATTCTTATAGCTTTGAGAAATATCATAGAATTGCTGGTATTACAGATGATTTTATTTATTCTTACTGGTATTTCTCAAATATTTTTGAATCTTTGTATTTCAGATGCTTTGGTATGAGGGGCCATTACCAATATTGGTATCACGGACCTCAAAATACAAAAACTTTAATGGATATTTGGAAAAATATTAGGATATTTTCATCATTGAAATCGCCAAATTGCAAGTTATGATCAGCGGGGCCGGGGCAGAATGGTAATCCAGGAATAGGAATATAATGAAAATGAAGTACTCCCCCCATCTCAGTATCTTCATCTCATCTTTCTTTTTTCTTTTGTGCCACTAAGTTTGTCTTATACCATATGTCCATATTTGATAATATTTTTGTGGTTCTAATTCATTCTTTCTTTATTCATACAATACAAATTCAATATCTAACACATAATTCCGCTTTTCCTTAGTAATCATGTCACTTCCTCAGGTCTTCATCTTAGTGTAACGAAGGTAGTAGTAATTAAAAAGGTGGAATTGGACTTTGCAACCTATTTTTCATCCAAAATTGTGTTTGCACCCCGTTTTCAAAACAATTTATATTTGCAACCCGGAGTTCGAAGAATCTGTTAAAATGGGGTGCAAACTCCATTTTAGAAGAATATAAGGGTTTATACTTTGACTTTTAGAGTGCAAATGCTAATAATTTTGAAAATGTGATTCAAACTCAAATTTTGATGAAAGGCATAGGTGCAAAGTCCAATTCTCCCATTAAGAAAAGATAAATACATATCACCTTAACATAACAAATGCAAGAAGAGCAACAGAGCATAACCATAACTCGTGTCACACATACTTGGAGCAAAATTATGTTATTAACAAGAAATACCCAAATCAGTACAAATATTGTTTACAGTCCATCAAAGCATATGTAAAGAAAAGAGACTGTGTATATACTTATCAGACATGAAAAGGTGAGGAAAACGGCAAAAAGATGACATTTCTAAATTCCAATCCACTTAACCAGGTAAGGTAAACTTCAATCTCAAGAAGTGTCGCACATAAAGAAAAAGAAAGAAAAAAACTGCTCGAAGTGCAGTTATCGATCAATTAGTCGAAATCATCTAAAGATGCCGCAAGAATATAACGAGTATAAACTTCAAATTGTTATGGAAAAAGTGTGCTGATCAAATGAGTAAAGCAAAAACAGACCATAGTAATTGCACTGGCGAAGCATCTTCTCGATTATTTTAAGCCAAACAACGTCGTCGTCAACTACCAGCACCCTAAGCCCAGCCGGGAAATGCTCAGGCACAACCGCAACAGCATCCACCTTAGATACTGCATCCATCTCACGCTGCAAACCTACCCCCAAGATAACAATCAATTAGGCTATCTATAACACCCAGTGACAGTCGGAACTTCGTGCCTTCTTCCGAGCTGGAAGCCTGGAACTTAGCGTCGAACTGCTATGTCATTGATGAACTCCACAGCTTCGACTCAACAGAAGCAGGCCCGACCAAGACGGCAAGACTAACAAGCTAATTGAGATAAAACGAGGTTGAAAACATGATTAGGGAGAGCATGAGCACTTTAATGGATAGTCTTTAGGGTTCTAAATTGCAATGATTGAGAAATGAAAGGATTGCTGATATGAGAGGACCAAAACGAAAAAGTGAGCCGAAGGTACTTCTTGGCTCTGGCAAAAGTAAAACGGAAAGATGGTTTCCTAAAGTATGAATGTAAACTGTAAAGTACACAATAACGGATCATTAACGCGTATAGTTATCTTATTAAGTGCTTCTTGATGATGATGGAGACGAATGTAAAGTTAAAGGCAGTCATTAACGGTAAAATTGAAGAATGAAAACTGAAAATTGGAAAAAGGTAAACAGTAAATTATGTTTACCTATTTATTTATTCTCTAAAGTGGAAAAAACAAATATATATCTCTAATTTTTTTGTTATGTTGAAGAACTCTTGCGACGTTTTCCAAAATGGTAATATACAGCATTAGAGTGTGTATTTGCTTCGCGCTCGGGTATACGGTGAGAATAACTTTTTGGTAAAATTACATATTTTCGAAATTTATGCAACGGTACATTTATGTTTTTTTTATCATCGAACAGACATTCATTCATAAAAAGCATTCAGAAAGGAGTTGAAATAACGAAAGGACTACATTTTATTTGTTAAATTAGGAAAAGCAATTTTTCATATTTTTAGTATTTTATAACTTACTTTTAGCTATCATGATTTACCCCCAAAATAAATAAGTTTATAATACCAACTTTAATTTATACATCATGAAAAATATGCGGCTTTAATAAAAATGCCCTAATTGAACGTGTGAGCTTAAAATAAAAATGGCTTAAGGGTCAAATAGACTCTTGAACTGACTTAAAGTGTTCAATTAGTCCTTTATATAAGAAGTTCTGTCCGGCCGTCACTAATTGGGGCGGTTCCCGGTGTATTTTTTTGATGAATTTTTTTGAGCATCTTCTTCATTAAGTCTAGTTTATCCATACCAAATTTCAGCTAAAAATTCAACCGGGAAGGCAGTCAAATGATTTTCCGAGATGTCCTGTGTTGTTTAACTTCGCTGTTATCTTCAAAAAAGCATTTGAATGTCTTCGCGGTTGAATTTTTAGCTGAAATTTGGTATGAGTAAACTAGACTTAATGAAGAAAATGCTCAAAAAATTTCATCAAAAAATTCCACTATGAACTACCCAATTGGCGACAAAAGAACCTTCTATATAAGGGGCTAATTGAACACTTTAAGTCAGTTCAAGGACCTATCTGACCCTTTAGCCAATAAAAATTATATTAAATTTTGAAAAATAACACTTTTTAATGCGGTTATACCTATAACGTTTGAGACATCAAAGTGTTACTAGTGTTATACTGTTATGTATGAAGTATTTTTTTTCAAGATGATGTAGTCTCATAAAAAATGTCACTCCTTTTCCATGGATATTATTTATGTAAACTTTTTGTCTTGTTTCAAATGTTTCTAATTACGAGTACATTATTTCACATTATATACACATATTAATTTTCAAATGGTGTCAGGTAGTACTTGCTACTTTTTTCGCCTTCGGTTCTATCAAGTTTCAATTTCTCAATGTATATCTTGCTTTATGGCTTTGAAAATGAAATGGGGAACAAAGAAATTCTGAAAAACATGTGTTCATAGTTGAGAAATCAAAAACTGAAAAAATGTAAACAAAATAAATAAATAAATAAATAAATAAATAAATAAATAAATAAATAAATAAATAAATAAATAAATAAATAAATAAATAAATAAATAAATAAATAAATAAATAAATAAATAAATAAATAAATAAATAAATAAATAAATAAATAAATAAATAAATAAATAAATAAATAAATAAATAAATAAATAAATAAATAAAAAATAAATAAATAAATAAATAAATGGGCCTTAAATTTTTGTCATTAATATGTATTATGCACTAGAGAGCACAAGAATAATCTTCCTGCTTTGGTACGCATAAAATGACAATAGTGTTGCTCCTCCCTTAAGACTTTTCAAGTTTTTCCAAACAATTATGCAGAGAAGAGAAAAATAATAGAAATCACAAATTAATTCATAAACTTATATTTGGGGTGTAAAGAGTACATTTTTTATTAGTTAATGTTAAAAACAAATGATATGATGAAATAAATAATATGGCACATTTAATAGTTAATGTTGAAAACAAATAATATGACAAGAACTCTCCATTTTTTGTGAAGTTGGAATTCCAGCTCAGTCACATGATGAAGGGGTTTTGATGCAACTAATTTAATTACAGTAAACTTCATAAACCTCCAAAACATCATATCTCACGCTAATAATAATTAGATGATTATTATATTTACGTTCAAGTGTTCAACCAAAAAGAAGACAATTGAAATTCAACTTAGGTAGAATATACAAATAGCGGTATTTTCATTTTCTAATAAAGGGTATTTTCATTTTCTAATAAAGTTTACATGGACCAAAAGAAATGTCAATATGTAATCGATGCTAATTCAAGCTTCTTCCAGAATTCAAACCGTTCAAAGTTAGTGTCACATCATTTTGGGGGAGTGAGCATTGAAGGAGACTATTATAACATAAAAACTTGATTTACATGGTGCTTATATCAATATTTATAGTCACAACAGTAGCCACACAAACACCTAATCGACAAATCGGTGTCTACGGACCGAAAACCCAATTTGGACGTTTTCATAAGTTGGTGGGTTTGATTGAGTGATTAGAATATACTCCATCCGTCCCATTGGACTTTGCCAATTTTCCCTTTTTTGTTGTCCCAACAAAATTTGCCATTTTCCTGTTAAAGCAATTAATGTGTGGTTTTGCACATTTTTCTCTCCTCTGCACGACTGCACAAATCTTAACTACGCAGTTTTTACTATTCTTATTTTTCACCTACTTTGCACTTGGCAAAGTCCACTGGGACGTAATTGGATGTATTGGAATGATCTTTGATAGTTTTATCTTTATTTTTATTTTATTTTATTTTTACATTAGAGGATTACAAAACAAATGTAATTTTATTATGAATTAATGATCATCATGGAACTTGATACACGTGTAATTTCCGTGTATATGTTGACATTTTTAGTTTGTTTTGGTTGTTTAAATACTTCGGAAATTACACACTTTCGGTGTATTAGTTTAGTTTGTTAAAATCTTGTAAATTATTTAGATTAGGTTTATTCTGAGCTCAGACAGGTCTACCATCATTCAAAGGACAGTTGGTAAACCCCAAAAGTGGAAGGAAGGTGCAAAATCACAAGACAAAAAGGGAAATCCTGATTTTGATCTATACTCGGTCGAGTATTACCTATACTCGATCGGGTATAAGGTTGAAACTTCAAATCGGATCGGATCCGAAGACAAAGGAACATGCCGGGAAGATTTTGACCACGATTCACTGTCTATACTCGATCAGGTAGACCGACATACCCGATCGAGTATGCCTTTGAGTTTAAACCCGAAATCGATCGAGTATGGCTCGAATATCACTTTCTACACATACTCGACCGAGTATGAATATATACTCGATCGAGTACACCTTTGATTTTTAAGCCAAAATCGATCGAGTATACCTCGAATCTGGTATTTCATACATACTCGATCGGGTACTATGTATATACCCGATCGAGTACCCGAGTCCCATCCCAAAAGCTTATAAATACACCCCCTTTCCTTCACAATTATCACACCAATTCCTTTATACTTTTAAGCTCAGTTTAGAATAGCATTTCTCTATATTTCTTTTAGCATGTTTAGTCTCCAAATGAGGAGCTAAACTTCCATTTCTTGGTTTTGCTCTTGAAGCTTGTTGATTATTAAAGTTGTGAGTTATTTTCTTACTTTCTCCTCTTGATTATTAATTCTTCCCTTAATCTCATTCTATATTAATGTTGGAGGGTGGCTAAGTGACGATTAGTTAACGTTCCAACATTGATTATTACTAGAAACGATCAACGAACCGATGGTTAAACGTTGATGGTTTCACAAGTAAGTAACTTCGGTTTATTAATGCACGGTTCGTGGTTAATAAACTTAAGAGGGGTTAATTTTGTTGGTTAAACCGAAACCGTTGTGTTAAGGTTATCAATCTTAATTGATTTCATCAAGGAGTTAAAGAGGTTAAATGCTACTATTATATCGGTATATGGCGTTGTTCTCTATTTGATAAATAGTAAGGGTTATTAATGAACGGTCGTTGTTAATATCTACCCTCGATGAATTGGAGATACTCCGCGATTGAGTATTCGAGAGGGGATAAGTTATAGATATAACAATGATCGACTAAAATATATCAACAAGTGGAAAGTAGCAAGGCCAAGTCCCTTTTATTCTTGAATTTAATCCCATATAACTCGTTCATCTTCGTGTTTAATTTAATTAAATCACTCAACAATCAAAACCCCCCTTTTATTTACTATTTACATAAAAAAGAAAGTTATTCCTTTCCCTGTGGATACGAACTCTACTTCACCTATACTACGTATAAGTGTTAGTATCAATTTATTTTGAGTGCACGCACGACAAAGTGCACGTCAGAACTCATTTAAGTTTTACTCCCTCCGTCCCATAAAACTTGGTCAATTTTCCTTTTTTTGGTCGTCCCAAAAAACTTTGTCATTTCTATTTAAAGTAAGGATATGTGACTAAAGTTATTTCTCTCTCCTCTACACAAATTTCAACCACACAATTTTTACTTTATTACTCTACGTGCAAGTCAACTTTGGCCAAGTTCTGTGGGACAGAGGGAGTATCATGTTTGACCTGTCATTCAATCATTTCCGAAATGGCACCATCAATACAAATTAAAGTTCCACCCACGTTTTCCTCTCCACTATATAGCACGATTCAACCCTTTTCAAGGACGGTAGGTGTAGCTCTCTCTCAGAAGGGGCTGGTGCATCAAGACGTCAAGTAAAAGTATAGATGGTGGGATGAACAAAATCCGGAGAGAAAATGAAAAGAAAAGATGTTGTAAACGGACACCACAATGGCTGATTATATATTTTTAATAAATGGTCAAGTAAAGTGACAACATGGCAAAAAAAGAGGTGAATGTGATGGCGTCAAAAGCTATCGAAACAGAAAGTAGTAATACCAACTTTAACACTATGCCGCAGACCTTTTCAAATATTTAATGAGAAAGAAAAAGAAGTTGGCTAAGGAACACCAACAGGCAAT